GCCAAGAAATGAATGCCCAGCTTCCTTTTAGGCTGATGAGGGAGAAGAGGTGAAATGTGAAGCCATAAACCTCTCTCTGAATCACAAGTTAGTCTTATGGATATCCACCCCACATGTTCCTGACTTTTGAATCTGGGAGTTCTACATGGTCTGCTGCCTTCTGTACTTATTTTAGTGTTTGAGTTCCTTGGTTTTATTATTAAATATTTATTTGCTTGATGCCTCCTAAATTATTGCAGGTTTATACTTTTCAGAAAATTTTCTTTAACATCATTTAAATGGGAGTCTCAGGAGGAAGAGTAGATAAATGTTTGTACGCAATTCACCAACTGAATTAAAATAATTTCCATGTAGTTTACATGTCTGGTACTTCTTCAGAATTATAGATCTGTTGATGGTGTTTTTTGGTTTCTGACTATCTATTTCCTGTGATTTCATGGGGTAAACCTGAGGGGAGAATACTGTGTGCTCAATCTGCAAATCTGCACCTTAATTCAGTCTCTCCTAAAGCCTTTTCTCAATGAGAAATAACCTCTCCAGCCAAGATGGTGGTATACATAGATGCACTTCACTTCCTCACACAACCAAAGGAAAGACAACAAATTTAAAAACCAAAAACAACCAGAACTGCCAGAAAATTGAACTGTATGGAAGTCTGACAACCAAGGAGTCAAAGAAGAAACATTCACCCAGACTAGTAAAATGGGCAAAGATGGACAGCCGGGGCGGAGAGGATGCATGGCAAGGCAGTGGACAGTATGGGCAAGGTAGCAGCTGGCAGACTGAGATATCCCACATTCATGTGTGAATTAGCTAGGAGGAACAACTTGGGAATGAGAAAGACTGTGCAACACAGGTTTCCAGCATGGGAAAATAAAGCCTCAAAACTTCTGATGGTAAAAACCTATGGTGGCTGCAGTGGCAGGAGAAATTCCCAGCCTCACAGGTCTCTTGTTGGAGAGACCCACAGGGTCCTAGAATGTACACAAACCCACCCACCTGGAAACCAGCACCAAAAGGGCTCAGTCTGCTTGTGGGTGGCCAGGGAAGTGACTGAAACCAAGGCAAGATGTGAGCAAGCAGCACTGTTCCTTCTTGGGTCCCTCCCCCACAGACAGCACCACAATGCAGTGAAGAGGATTGCCCCACCCTGGTGAATACCTAAGGCTCCGCCCCTTACAATGTAGCAGGAGCACCGAGACAAAGGAATATGTCCCAAATGAAAGAACAGATCAAAACTCCAGAAAAAAAAAATACAACTAGGCGATGAAAAGATAGCCAATCTATCAGATGCAGAGTTCAAAACACTGGTAATCAGGATGCTCACAGAAAGGTTGAGTATGGTCGCAAAATAGAGGAAAAAGTAAAGGCTATGCAAAGCAAAATAAAAAAACATATACAGGGAACCAACTGTGAAGTGACAGAAACCAAGACTCAAATCAACAATTTGAAGCAGAAGGAAGAAATAAACATTCAACCAGAACAGAATGAAGAAACAAGAATTCAAAAAACTGAGGAGAGGCTTAAGAACCTCCCAGACAACTTTAAATATTCCAACATCTGAATAATAGGGATGCCAGAAGGAGAAGAGGGAGAGCAAGAAATTGAAAACTTATTTGAACAAATAATGAAGGAAAACTTCCTCAATCTGGCAAAGGAAATAGACATGCAAGTCCAGGAAGCTCAGGGAGTCCCCAAACAAGTTGGACCCAAGGAGGAACATGCCAAGACACATCATAATTAAATTACCCAAGATTAAAGATAAATAGAGAATCTTAAAAGCAGCAAGAGAAAAGGAGACAGTTACCTACAAAGGAGTTCCCATAAGACTATCAGCTGATTTCTCAAAAGAAGCTTTACAGGCAAGAAGGGACTGGAAGGAAGCATTCCAAGTCATGAAAGGAAAGGACCTACATCCAAGATTACTCTATCCAGCAAAGCTATCATTTAGAACGGAAGGGTGGATAAAGTGCTTCCCAGATAAGGTGAAGTTACAGGAGTTCATCCTCACCAAGCCCTTCTTACATGAAATGTTAAAGGGACTTATCTAAGAAAAAGACGAAGATCAAAACTATGAACAGTAAAATGACAACAAACTGACAACTATCAACAACTGAACCTAAAAAACAAAAGCAAATTATGCAAACAACTAGAACAGAAACAGAATCACAGAAATAGAAATCACATGGAGGGTTTCAGCAGCGAGGGACAAGGGGGAGAATGGGGGGAAAAGGAACAGGGAATAAGAAGCATAACTGGTAAGTACAGAAAAGACAGGGGGAGGTTAAGAACAGTATAGGAAATAGGGAAGCCAAATAACTTATATGTACGACCCATGGACATGAACTAAATGGGGCAACTGCTGGTGGGAGGGGGGTGCAGAGTAGAGGGGGATAAAGGGGAGAAAAAAATTGACAACTATAATAGCAAAATCAATAACATATGTTTTTTAAAAAAGAAGCAACCTCTCATGGCATGTTATTTTCATAAATATGTTTTAGGAAATGCCAGTCTGCAACACACATTTTCTCTTAACCTCAGACTATATTTCAAACCCAATATTTTCCAGAACTGACTGAATATTGGAAAAAGACTCTCTGGCACCTCTGACCACCTTGGATATTGTTTAGCTCACAGTCAGTCACTGCAAACTCCTGGTAGAGTTGGGAGCATATCATATGAATTACGACATCTGCTGTAAATGGTACATATTCCCAATGTTAACATTACCTTAAAACTTTTCTTTCCCACCAACAACATCAATGAAAGGCCCAGAATCCCATTTTCTAGATGCTGCCATTACATAAAAGTCTGGAGAAGCCACTGGAAGCAGTTCCTTCTTTCCCTTTCTTCAATCACTGGCCTGTCCCAAATCAGGCCTTCATGCTGAACCCAACACTGAATCAGGCCTCTTCTAAGCTGACAGTAACTGCCACATTCATCTAATTGTAATAAAAATATATTCTATTTTTAAGTTAGGGTAAAATTCATATGGAACCACAAAAGTCCCTAAACAGCCACAGCAATTTTGAGAAAGAAAAAAAGCTTTGAGAAAGAAAGAAAGAAATCAGTACATGTACTGATTTCAAACAATCACAAAGCTGTAGTAATCAAAAGAGTACAGTATTGGCATGAAAAACATGTAGGCCAATGGAACAGAAAAGAGCCCAGAAATAAACCCATGCATGTATGATCAATTAATTTATGACAAAGGAACCAAGAATACACAATGGGGAAAGGACAGTCTCTTCAATAAATGGTGTTGGGAAAACTGAACAGATGTATGCAAAAGAATGAAACTGGACCACTATCTTAAACTATACACAAACATCAACTCAAAATGAATTAAAGACTTGAACATAAGATTTGAAACCTTAAAACTCCTAGAAGAAAACACAGGCAGTAAACTCTGGCTCTGATCTTGACCATGATTTTTCTTAAATCTGACACCAAAGCAAAGACAACAGAAGCAAAAATAAAGAAGTAGGATTACATCAAACTCAAAAGCTGCTTCTGCACAGCAGAGAAAACCATCAACAAAATGAAAAGGTAACCTATGGAATGGAGAAAATATATTCAAATCATACATCTGGTAAGGGATTAATGTCCAAAATATGTAAAGAACTCATAGAACTCGACAGCAAAATAACATACAATCCAATTAAAAATTAGGCCTAGACATTTTTCCAGAGAGGACATACAAATGGCCAAGAAGCACATGAAAAGATGATCAACATCACTACATTATCAGAGAAATGCAAATCAAAACCACAATGGAGTTATGGAGTGAACTATCACTCCATAACTGTTAGAATGGCTATAAAAAGGCAAGAAATAACAAGTGTTGGCAAGAATATGGAGAAAAGGAAGCCCTTGTGCATTGTTGGTGGGATTGTAAATTGGTGCAGCCACTGTGGAAAACAGTATGGGATTCTTTAAAAAATTAAAAATAGAACTAGCATATGATTCAGCAGCTCCACCTCTCGGTATTTATCTGAAGGAATAAGAATACTAACTCAAAAAGATATCTACACCTCATGTTCATTGCAGCATCATTTACAATAGCCAAGCCATATAATCAACCCAAGTGTCCATTAATGGATTAATGGGTGGAGAAATTGATATATTTCTGCCATAAAAAATAAATTTTGCATTTGCGGCAACAAGGATGGCATTATGCTAAATGAAATAAGTTGGCTAGAGAAAGAAAATACTATATGATATCACCAGAATGTAGAATCTAAAACAATCAAACAAACAAGCTCATAGAGAAAGATTGGTGGTTGGCAGAGGGCATGGATGGGGCAGGTGAAACAGGTGAAGGTGGTCAAAAGGTACAAACTTTCAGTTACAAAACAAGTCCTAGGGATGTAATATACAGCACGGTGACTATAGGTAATAATACTGTATTGTATCATTGAAAGTTGCTGAAGAAGTAAAACCTTAAAAATTTTCATTAGAAAGATTAAAAAAAGAAAAAATGTAACTGTGTGATGATAGATGTTAACTAGACATACTGTGGTGATCATTTCACAATATATACATATAAATGACTTGCTATGTTATATATCTGAAACTCATATAATATTATATGTCAATTATATCTCAATAAAAAATAGTGAACAAACTTAGAAAAATATTAAGAAGCAATCTTTCTATTCCTATATTTCCTGAAAGACACAGGGCAAGTGTATAGATGCTTGTTTGTATAAAATATTGGGTTAGCCAAAGAGTCTGTTTAGTTTTTTCCATAAAATAAAGACACATTTTTCATTTATCGATTTGGATAATTTTGAGTAGTCATCTATCTCCCACTATTGACTTTTAGGGATAGAGGCCAGGGGTGCTGCCAAACATCTTCCAATGCATAAGACAGCCCCACAGCAGAGAATTATTTGGCCAAAATGTCAACTGTACCAAGAAACTTTACAAAAACATTTATTTTATTTTTTAATTTATTTTATTTATTTTTATTTATTTATTTATTTTATTTTATTTAACTTTGTTTGAAACTAGCCCACATGCTACAGAGCTGAGAGGCCAGCTTCAGTTTTACTTTTCCTCCTTTTATGACCACCAAGACCCGTGTTGAGATCCGATGGGAAAGGGAACTGAAGGGTTACAAAAACATTTTTGACACATTTGATCAGTCACAGGACCTTCTCCATACACTGCACAAATCTTTATTTTTGCGTTTCAGTTTCATTTTACCTTTCTTGATATAATAAAGCATAATACACCAAAAGCATTGCATATTTTCTTCCATCTTCAATATTAAAATGGCTGCACAAAAACTCACCAATTTTAGTGTTATTTTTTTAATGCACACTGATATTACAGCTGTCATAATGCAATCTAACAAAATTGTTTTAAATAAAGTTATAGACAACTAAGCACTATTAGAGCCATTGCACAGAAAAAAACTAAATGGAATTTTTGATCAACCCAATAACTTCTCCTAAACTCAAACCATAAAAATAACTTACACTTTTATACACTTGGATATACATTTTTCTAATGAAATTGTCATGGCAACCTTGTAAGTTCAGTGCTATTACTCATATATTTACAGATAAGAAAACCAGAGTTCAGATTAGCATAATGAGATAATAAGTGGTAAAACTGGGACTCTGGCTTCTCATTGTTCTTCTAGTGGGTTTTTTTTTTCCTTACATTATTATAATGGGTACACACTATTGGTTGCAATGTTATAATAAAGTTTTTTTTAATTTTAATTTTTTTATGTATTGTCGCTCAGTTACAGTGGTCCCGCCTTCTCCCTCATTGCTCACCCCCTACCCCATCCCCCCACTCCCACAGTCAATCCCCCCCATTGTCCATGCCCTAGAGTCCTCTATTCATGTTCCTTTGCTTGTACCTTCCCCTTCTTTCCCCCGTTATCCCCTCCCCTGTCCCCTCTGGTCACTGTCAGTCTGTTTCTCACTTCCAATGTTGTAAACAAGTTTTAAGGAATTATTAGTCTGTGCAAGGCACTATTTAAGCACTCTGCCTGTACTAATTTATTTGATCCTCTAACAACCCTATGAGGCGGACACTATATTGCTTTAAAGATTAAGAAACTTTAAGGCCCAGATAGGTTATTTGTGTTCGTGTATAAAAACCATGAGCTCCTCTAGGGCAGAAGCAGTATTCTATTCATCACTGAACTCTCAACATTTAGCAACGGGACACAAAGAAATACATTCTTGTTGAATAAAATAAAAATTCACCCCCACTATATGAAAACAAATAGGATTTCTAGACAGAGATTCCCAAACAGCAACAGGATAAAATAAAATGTGTGGAAATGTTTCAAGACTGCTACAGGAACAAAGTGATAAAAGAAATGTAGTTGACAAAGGGGAAAAAAGCCCACAACTTAGGGAAAAAAAAAGTGACTGAGGGCATTATCAGCAATTGCTCACAGAAATAGAGGGAAAAGACTTAGAGGAACAAACCTAGAAACAGATTAATAAACAGCCTTTCACCCAAGAGAGACCCCAGCCAGACATGAGGAGGAGGCAGAGAAAGCTCATCCCTTCCAGTCCTCAAGGAGTGTGGGAGAGGGAAGGGAGCAACATCGTAGGAGTAAACCAGACTGAAAGAAACAAAGATTTTCAGGAGATTGTTGTTAGATTTTTTTTTCTTCTATATATACTTCTATATACATATATTTCTTATTGGTAAAATAGGCACTCTTTGCTGAGAAATTGGATAATGCAAAAAGGAATAGAAAGCAAAATTATTGCCTCCAATCTCATTTCCCAAAGAGAATAGTTGTTAATAACTAAAGCATTTTCTTCTAATTTTTTCTATGCATTTTAAAACAAAATTGGGATTATTTTATACACATATACACACATATGTAAAACATTGCACTCTGCTTTTAAAATATCTTCACATTATCTTATGAACATTTGAAAATACCATTAAATATATTTGAAGAATAATAATTTAAGAAAATTTATGTTGACCGGAATCACAGAACTCAAAGCAAAACAAAATTCTGTGCACGTTAAGGAGCCTTGCCCTGGAGGGTGGGGCTCAGTTGGCGTGTCGCCCTGTACTCCGAAGGGTGGCGGGTTCGATCTGCAGGGCGCACATTGGAGGCAATCAATTGATGCTTCTCCTCTAAAACCAATAAACATACCGAAAACTTAAAGAAGCCTTGCTCCACCTTGGCCCCCCCGCCCCCGTCACCACCCCATCACGGCCACCCTCCTCACTGTCACAGCTCCCGTCACCCTCACCCTCTCTGCACGGCAGAGTAGCCACGTTCATTAATTTATTTTTCATCTTTCCAGTTAAAAACACTATTTTTAAGGGCCGCCTAATATGACAGTCTAAAGAGACACGAGATTTACACATCCTCCTACATCAGAGCATTTGAGAGAGTTCCAATTTTCCCCTACTGTAAGTAATAGAGATATTTACAAGTTTTTAAAGTAAGTTATGACTTGGCAGAGCTTCACGGCTTTCTGTGCACTATATTCTATTTTTTCTTTCTGGCACCAAAGAAGAAATAAATTGTTTGTTAAATCGTACTTCCTGGTTTTAGTAAAATCCTAAAGGGTCCCTCAGAGCTAATCAAGCTTAGTAGAATCCCCGCATTTAACAGAAGTAGAAAGTGAAGCAGAGAATGAGTGACTTGCCTAAGGGCACGAGCTAGTCAGCGGGAGATCAGGGACAGGAAACCAGGACCATCTGGCTGCACTGTCTGCACTATCTGGCCGCCCCTCTGCCCCAGCATCGCCCACCGGACTGAACCTCCGGCTGGGACGGCCGACAGGGGTACTCTCTCCCCTCTCCCACCAGTCAGTCCCATATATTCCCCATGACTCTGCAAGCTTGGCCGATGTAGACAGCTTTAACAGAAAGAAGGAAGAGTTTTGAAGTCAAAAGCTCCTGTATTTCTCTGCTAGAATATCATGCTTGAACAATCTTTAGGCTGAACATTAGGTACGTAAGAAAGAAAAGAAGTAAAAACTGAGAAACTAAGAAAAGGGATTATTTTAAAGCCTTGCTATTTTTTCTAAATCAAACAGCAGAATCCAGCCAGCAGCCAAGGCAAGAGGTGTAGTGTGAAACTAGATTCCACTCAAGGTCCCCTTTCCCTGTTCTTTTCCCTTAAGGGAATATGGAAAATTTCCTGGGATTTAGAAGCCTTTGACTCAGCAATATAGTATATGTCTGGGAATTTATCCTAAGATAATATACAGGTTAAGTACACAAGCTATATGGAAAATGGTTTTTATGGCAGCCTTAGTTATTATAATGAAAACTGGAAAATAACCTCAATTATATTTCTTCAGCATATACCTCATTTGCATCCACAGGTTCTCCCAGACTCACCTTGTCTCTTAGACCCTGGTTGACTTTGCTTTGCCTTAGCTGTTGCTATGGCTGACCCATTTGTTGTAGACCCACAGAAGTCCACCTCTCCAGGTCAAGCAGCCACACGCTCGTGGCTCCGGCCCTTCCTGTCACCTCCAAATTCAAAGGGAGAGCTCCATCCCAGAACATGTGATCTGGCTTGGCTAGTAGCTGCTAAAGATGCTGAGTGATGAAAGGGAAGGTAAGGAGTAAACTTCGTTGTGTGGAAAGCTTTGGCCAGTGGAAGAGAGAAAACAGGGAGCTAGCAGATACATTCCCTTCCTTTCCTCCCTCCAAGAGACTGTGCAGAGACAGGACCTCTCCACAGAGTCTTTCTGGGTACATACTGTCTGACCAAGCAAGTGTACCTGCTAAGGAACAAGCTTTGCCTCTTAGAATCTTAACGTGAAGCAAAACATGTCTGTGCCATGCCCTCCCATCTTTCACTACTTAGTGAATCTTTTCCTTCACTTTTGCTGCCCTGGGACTGCACCTCCGAAATTAAACATAAACACTTATTTCTTGTCTCAGGTTCTGTTTCATAGGGAACCTGGGTTAAGACAAGTCATTTTTGAAAGCTGGTTTTAAAAATTGATGTTGCCAGTAATAGCAATTAAAAGTGATGATGTCTACCTATGTTTGCTAACTTGGAATGAGCTCTGAGTTATATTTTTGAAAGATGTTAACCCTGGTTGTTTCTAGATAATAACATTTTAGACATTTCTCTTTCTTTTTTATAACCACTATGGAGTTATTGTTGCACTTTCTACAACAAATATGTGTTAAACTAATAAGCAGAATATGCCCTGGCTGGTGTGGCTCAGTGAATAGGGCGCTGGCCTACAAACCAAAAGGTCACCAGTTCGATTTCTGGCATATGCCCCGGTTGTGGGCCACGTCCCTGGTTGGGGGCGTGAGAAAGGCAACTGATTGATGTTTCATTCACACATCAGTATTTGTCTCCCTCTCTCTCTCTGCCCTTCCTCTCTCTCTAAAAACAAATAAATAAAATCTTTAAAAATAAACTCCTGAAAAGTTCCCTTTGAAACCCTAAATTAAAAAAAATAAGCAGAATGTATTGAGAGCACAATTTTTACACTAAAATGTTGCCAAATTTTAACACTATGTTATTTGTTCTAATGAATAAAATTTAAATATAAACTCCTTATCAATGCCATGTCTATACTGAAGTAATGTTCACATGTATAAATAGATATGTGCATAGAGTATGAAATACCAGAACCATTTTTGAGTGAAACTTTTATCAAATCAATTTTTTTATTAGACTCTCTACTGAAAAACTACTTTACTTTTCTTCCAGTTTCAGAAATGCCATCTAATCATTGTCTATTCACAAAGAACAACAGTCCCTTTATGCCATAAAGATTGCTGGCTCATAGCCTTGTAGACAGAGTTCACTGTGTGATTTATAACTGTCCACACAAATTAGTCAAAAAAGGATGGTATTTGGGGTTAGTTCAGTCAGTTCCCTGCAGAACTTAATAATGAACCTAAAACTTAGAAATGTTATTTTGTTATTTACAAGTAAAGTAGGTTTTTTTCCACTTAAGATATTACAGCTGACTTAAATAATCAACTTGTATTGAGGAAATCTTGTTATCCAAGTGTGCAACCTAGACGGAAATATGCAAAGCCAGATTAAAATATACTAAAAAAATAAAGATGCTGTCAAATTCTGGATCCAAATGAATTAGGAAATAAATCAGTCAATTGGTTATGATTCTAA